AGCAATAGTCAGCAATATTAAGTAGTAGGTAGTAGGCAGCTATCAAGCAGGGAGGTACTATCACCTTGGAAGGTATTGGAAGCATAATGTGTTGTCTAATTGTAGACACTGCTGCCATATGGCATCACGAAAATTGTGACCAAATCCCAGGTTGCTGATCTGACTTTCTGTCTCATTTACACACAATTTTCTCTCTTGACAACACAACATGTATAACCGTACTCACTCTTGATCTGATCTATTCTTTCTATTCTGTTATTCTCCTATAATATCAGTTGACAATAATATTGAAGCGGGGCCTTCTCGGATGGGTCTCACTGGTCGGGAAGGTTGTGGACCCCAGGGCCGACCTGATCATCATCAAACTACTGGGGCCTCAACTGACGTCACCGCAGTTGCTGGAGGATCGGCTTTTTTCACACTTAATTTTTCCAGCATTCGAGGCCTGAGGTCCAATTTCTCTTCTGTGGAGCACCATCTGTTAACCTTTTCCCCCGACCACTTACTACTTTCTGAACTTCAACTGACCAAAGTAGCTTCACCCAAACCTTTTCAAGTCTCCATCTACAACCTTTATACCTCTATCCGTTCTCAGGGAGGTGTAGGCGCCCACTGCAACACACGTACACCTATAGCTCGACTCACGGATCTTGAATATTTTCTTTATGATGTCATCTGGCTCAAAATATCTCTACTAACTATGTCTATTTTTCTTTGTTTCCTATACTGTTCTCCCAACTCTACCAACTATTTGGGACTCTTTGACTATCTCACTTCTTGCCATGAATCGTTGCTATCCACACACCCCAACACCGAGATCCTCTACCTAGGGAATTTTAATGTACATCACAGAGAGTGGCTTGGCTCTGCAAGGGATGACCCAGGTGGAGCTGAGGCACTCTCTTTTTCCTTACTTAATGGTCTGGAACAAACAATTAAACACCCTTAGTAACATTTTTTATTTTAATTTTACCTCTAACCCCTCACACTATTCATATCTATTTCTGCCCCATTAGGGTCTTCTGATCACAATCTTCTTTATATTAAATCAAACTGGGCACGACCACCTCCTCCACCCCCCTCTAAACGTCAACTATGGCATTATCGGGAGGTAAACTGGCAATCCTTGCGAGAATTCTTCTCCGACTTTCCCTGGGATGCATGTTGCTTTTCCACTCGGGACGCCTCGATATGTGCTGACAGCATTGCTGGGGTTATACTGGGTGGTATGAGTGCATTTATCCCATCTTCTACCAAAATTTTCACTTTACAATCATGGTTTCATCGCTCCTGTTCTCTTGTATGTAGGGAGAGAGATAGGGCATATCAAGTTATGAAACTATCTCCTTCTCCTATTACCCACTCCTCTTTCATTACTTCTAGGAATCTTGGGCCAAGAGGAATTTTATTAAAAGAAAGACTGCTGTCCCGGCTAACTCTTCTTCTAGTAAATCCTTCTGGTCCTTAACAAAAAACATCTGTAATAACCTCTGCACTCCCTCTTTTCCTCCTCTCTTCCGACTTGATAACTCTATAGCCAACTCTCCCCCTGATAAAGCCAATCTCTTTGGCACCTTATTCTCCTCTAACTCCACCTTAGACGATTCCATCTCTATCCCTCCTACCCGTGTTCCTCATACTGAACCTATGCACTTTCCTATAATCTCCACTCGTATATAATCTATGCAATAGTTGTTTACTTGTTGTTAGCCGTGTTAAGTTAATGGGGATGTTTATTTACTTGTTGACTATGTTAAATTAATGGGTTAGTTAATGGGGATGTTTATTTACTTGTTGACCATGTTAAATTAATGGGTTAAGTTAATGGAGATGGTCAGTAACTTGCTGTTGAACATGTTAAGTTACTTTATTAATCATATAAATAGTTGATCGCCTGGGACAACATTCATCATCTTTCTCGATACACAACACGACCACTCCGTCACGTACAGTCAGTCCCCTTCACAGGTGCGTTTACAGGGGCTCGTCATATAAACATTCCACAAATCATTACACTCAGATATTTGTTTTAATAATTTTTTAATTTGATTCCATAGTATGTTTACTATTTCGAGTTTATTTCTGTCGAATACAAACAAACACCGGCCTGCCACACTGCACAAAGCCTGACGAACTTAGTACAACTCCTATATAATTACTCTATAATCATTTAAAAATCAGCGCCACCAGATTGTTGAGACGCTGCTACTTAACATAACCTAACCTAACCTATCCTAACCTAACCTAACCTAACTTAATCTAACCTAAGCTAAACTAATCTAACTTCACCTGGGATCCACTACGCGCCAACGACGACACATAATAAGCTCCGCCCATATGCGTGGGTACACTTCGTTTATTTAGACTTTGGCACCACTGACATGATACTTGCTGCCCGCCAGATACAGAAACAGTGCAAAGAACAGCATCGTGACCTGTACATGGCCTTCATCGATCTAACCATGAACTTCGACTCAGGTTAAAAGGAAAGCCCTCTGATAGACCCTAAGCCGTTTTGGCTGTCCGCCAAAATTCATCTCCATTGTGAGGCAGCTCCACGATGGTATGGACGGTAGTGTCCTGCGCAGTGGCATCCAGTCAGAGTTCTTCCCATCCAAACGGCGGTTAAACAAGGGTGTGTACTGGAGCCAACTCTCTTTTCCAATTTCTTGGCTGCCTTCCCAACTACTGCCAGTGCCAATATAGCCGGCGGGGTTGACATCGAGTACCGGATGAAGGGTCTATTCAACATAAGACGACTCCAGGAAGGAACAAAGATGTCGGCAGCTTCCATTACTGAACTTCAGTATACAGACGACCTTAACCTTGTTGCTCATACTGAACGCGACCCACAAGAGATCCTGAACACCTACGTAAATGCATATGCAAACTTCGGCCTTGAGATGCTTGTACGTAAGACTCAAATTCTCTCCGCCCGCCCCTGGTTCAGCCACACCTCCACCATCCATCCAGCCATTTCTTTTTTTACGGGGAATAGCCCACCCGGGCACAGGTCATCGACCCACACCGGGGCCTAGTTGGCCTAACAATAAGAGTAAAAATAAATTAAAAATAGAAAAGAAAAAGATTATATTAATCTAGACCACGAAGTTGCCGGAAAACCAGCTTTTTAAAGTAAGACAGATAATTGTATGAGTGTGGAAACACAGAAGAAGGCAGACCATTGCACAGTCTGGCTGTGTGAGGAAAGAAGGATGTACTATAGCGGGTTATTATAATGTGTCCGACATCCGCAGAGAAACAGTGGGCACAGCGGGCAAGACTAGTGTTAGGAGCCCACGGCCTTGCCGGCGGTACACAGGATGCCAACTCCACCGAATATTGCCCGTTAAAGTACCTGTAAAAGAGAGAGAGTGAAGCAGTATTGCGGTGAAGAGAAAGGGAAGAAAAAATATCAACTAAAGGAGAAGAGTCAATAAGACGAGCCACCGCAGACATGAGAGCAGTACTCCAAAATAGGACGAATGAATCTCTTATATACTTGAAGCAACTGCTCAGAGGTGAAGTAGATACGGCATCTGTACAGCATTCCCAGCTTCCGGAGGCAGCTTTAGCAATTATGAGGATGCGTGGCTTCCATGACATATTACAGGAAATGGTTATGCCTAGCATATCTATTTTAGAATTTGGCAGAATGAGTGCTTAATGGTACTACCCACTTTAATGTTACCCACTTTCAGTATCTCAGCTCCCACCTGTGCACCACCGCGGACATCGATGAAGCAGATTCAACATCGGGTCAAATGTGCATCTCAAGCCTTTGGCAGACTCCGAACCCGTGTCTTCAGCTGTAGGAAGCTATAATTATCTACAAAGTTGCACGTATATTGAGCAGTGGTCCTTTCCACCCTACTATATGGCAGCGAGGTATGGGACACATACAGTACAGGAGGCACCTCAATGCATTTGAAAACTTTCACCAACGTAGTCTACGTTCCATCCTCCGAGTTCGATGTGAAGACAAGAGAACAAATGCCAGTAATCTCGCTGATACCTGCAGGAGCATCGAGGCTACCATTATCCATGAACAACTACGCTGGTTTGGCCATGTTTCCTGTATGGACGACAGTAGACTGTCAAGAAACTACTTTACAGTCACATAAAGAATAGTAATTGTAACGCTGGTGGGCAACTGAAAAGGTATAAGGATAGTCTTAAGAAAAATCTGAAAAAGTGCCAAATCGACCCCCCCACTTGGGAGTCGATTACTCCACACCGTAACGCTTGGACAAGCATTACACGAGAATGTGTCAATACTTTCCAGTTAGCCCGATTGTATACCGAGACATTATGTTACAACACCATCATTACTACCTCATCATCATTACGAAACAATTATCATCACAACATCATAACCACAACAAAATCATTGCTGCAACATTACCTCGACATTACAGTTACAACACCACCATCATTACAACACCATCATCACTAAAACATCATATAAAACAACACTATCATCACTTCAACATCAAAACTACAAGACCATCATCACTACGAAAGTTACATCATCACTGCACCAGATACATAAACGTACACCATCACTACAAGACATACATAAAATTATAACATCGTCACTACAACAGATACATAAAACTACATCATCACTACAACAGACACAAAACTATAACATCATCACTACAAGAGATACATAAAACTGCAACATCATCACTACAACAGATGCAAAACTACAACATTATCACTACAACAAACACAAAACTACAACATCATCACTACAACAGACACAAAACTACAACATCATCTCTACAACAGATAGACAAAACTACATTAACACTACAGCAGACAAATAAAACCACATCCTAACTACACTACACTCGTAACCACTATTTTCTTGTAAACCTCTTGTCACGTTTCATCAGATGTGAAAATTCCAACCTACTTTAATTACATTTCCCGCTAATTCTACCCCCAAAAAAAGTTTACCTCATTAACTTCATCACAATAACTTTCAAAACAAGATGATTGACCTGATGACTAGCCACCAGGAGGAATCACACCTCGTCGAGTTCGCATATGCTAACTTTGATAAAATTTTCAAAACGACCCGACTTTTGGGAGGTGGGGCCAGTGCTCGAGTATTCTTGGGAGAATTCTTCAACGGACCAGCCTGCGCCAAAGTCGGAGTACACCATGACGTCAACAACACCTTCAACAGGGAAAAATATAATAACTTGTAGGTAAACGGTGCAGGTGGATCCCCCGTCCTGCTGGGGTCATGCACCGATTACCCAGTCCTGATCTTCTCACTCTGCCAGGGCCAGACATTGGATGAGGTGGTCGAGAATCTATTCGTTTTCTCTCCCACTAAATCAATAAGCATATTTTTGCCCATCGCCGAAGGCCTAGCCGAGGTACACAGCCGGGGAATCATCCATAACGATATCAAAGTGGATAACATTTTGCTGGAGAAGAACTCTGATGGGTCCTACACCTCCCACTTTATCGACTTTGGATTATCAAGAGTAGAAGGTGGCCACCTGACCTTATACAGCAATCCGAACGACAGCCATTACGTCCCGGAGTTGTTTAAGGGTCTCCCCTGCACCCCGGCAAGTGACATCTACTCGCTCGGAGTTATGATCTCCGACTTCCAAAATTGTTTTGATAACCTCTGGCCGCCAGGGGTTAAACGCCTGTGCAACCAGATGCTCAGCCGCAACCCACAGCACCGTCCAAGTCTTTCTAAAGTGATCGAGGTTTTGAGGGAATCCCTTAAGGAGCTCTCCCTCGAGGTGCTCTCTTCCTCCAAGGCCGACCCCACCTACCATGCAACGTGTGTCTAGTGATCAGTGGTGGGCACGGTTCCACTAATCCGCTAACCGCTAATTAGCAAAGCTAACTTTCTCGTCAGCGGATTAGCGTTTTCGCTGACTTTGGAAACAATTAGCGGACCAATTAGCTTCCGCTAAATCTAGTTCCGCTAACTTTAAGTCCACTAACAAAATTTATACATGTTTGTTCCTGTCTGTTGTAAGCGTGTGACGCCGCGACTCGTGTCTCCTTGGACTGCCATTTCGGAGACTGTAGTTTGGGGAGTCGCTTGAAGTGTTTGCACGGCTTCTGCCATTTCTAGGGGACCGGAACTTCTTAGCAGGACCTTCGAACATCTGCTTGCCAGCTAATGACGGGCCCTCGAACTTCTCGTCACCCGTGTACAGGAAGATGTTCAGGTCCTGGGCCTGCATGTCGAACTTATCTACTGACGCTGCAGCTTGAGGGTCTTACTTCTGCGTGGAGTGAGTCACCATCACCTGGCCGCAACCATTGTCTGTAGATGCAGCCCGATGGTGGCTGCTGTCGTCACTGGGAGTACATTTCTTAGGGTCACGGAGATTTATGGTGTCGATGGTGGAGCTGTGATCCCAGGGGTACTGACTGGCCACGTCGGGGCTACGTTTTTTTTTTTTTTGGCCTAAGTGAAGGAGGTCCATTTCTGGCGTGAGTTGAGGTCATCATGAAGTCGTTGAGTGGGTTACTGCCATCAGGATTTCTTTTAAAGGGACGTCGTCGCTTATTTCAACAGGTGCAATGTTGTTCCTGGTTACTGTCTCGCTAAGATGTTTCGAGAATGAACTTGGATGAGCCATGTTCATGTGATGGGCATGCAGGTAAGACAAGTATATGGTGGTAGCTTTGGACTCGTCTAGCTGTGGAGAGGAGACGCTCCTGATGCTCTCCCCGACTGCGTCCCACTTGGCGCCCAGTCACTCAGTAACGGCCTGCTTTATTGAATTCTTGATGGTTCGTATCTGTGATTGCAGGACTTCCATGGTCTCGCTGACACTGCTGAGTTTTTGTGAGTCTGCTTGAGTTTCTTTCAAAGCGGCTTTTAGGGTCTGGCAGTAAGCCACGATCGTCGACTGAGTGGTCTTTTTCATGATGTTAGAAATTTCCCTGGTTTCTTTTTGCTTGGTTACTTCGGTTAGTTTCCTTACCAGGCAGGTGGCAGAGAAACGTCCTGTGGCCACCTTTGGAGACGACACGCTTTTTGGTGGTGCTACGGCAGTCTTTGTAGAAGTATTGATCAGAGCATATGACCCTTTGCAGAGGCAGTTCTTGGTCATGTGGCCATAGTATTTGTCGCACTTCATACATTCTTGGATGAGTGTATACTTTTTGTATTGTATCTGGTGTTTAGGAGATGCGTAGAGCCCGTTCCCTTTCATTATTTTTGCATCCGTTGTGTCCGCAAACGAACCTTGATTATATTATGGGAATACATTGCTTTTCTATTTCATATCTTAATTCTTCTGCATTATTTTCTACCACATCTTTGTTCAACTTCTTGCATACAAGGGTGAGCTTGGCGCCGTATTCCAGTGGGACCATGACTTCGTATCCGTTGGTTTTTATTTTGTCCGTGGTACCAGACTTCAGTAGCTTATCAACATCATCAACTGTCTCTGTGAGAATGATATAACAGTCTCTCAATTCCAAGAGACTATAATTTATTCTCACCCTTAGGTCACTTAATAGCCTTTTTAACTCTATCCGAGACCCCTGGGTCGGGGTTCCTGAGGTCTTCACTCTCACTTTGGCCATGGTCAGTTACATACATCAAAATCCTACCTAATCTGTCCACCTCAGCTAACCTCATTTATGCCGCTCTTTCTGTCCACTTGCTCGGCGAGGAAAGACAGGTCTAGGTATAGGGTGAATAGACAATCCCCTGTCGGGGGCCTAGGCAAGCCCAAACACCAAACAGCGACAGGTTATGAAGCACAGACGAATCCTTAACAGAAAATGTTGCCACTCTTACTGTCTCAACTCAGCAGCCCTCTGTGGGAGGGTTCACGTCGTTACCAAACAGCAGGGACTCTTGGAGAAAGGATAGAATAGGAAAGAAACTTAGAGGGACAACAATAATAATATCAATGTACAACTACAAGATAAAGCAGCCAGAGCGAGCCCAGCGTGAAAACAAATTTGAACGCGAGCCGGGAGCGACGCCCAAAACATCCAAGAGAGACGGCGCATAGGCCCACCGGCATGTGAACACGCCCAGGTGTCTACCACGCACTGCTTTGATGATTAACCTTGGTAGGCATAAGGCTGCAGGAGTAAACCCAGAATAAAAAATCTGATGTGGAGCCCCACATCAGGCAGACATGCTTATATTGGAACCCAACGGCTAGACCGGCGGATGAAAGCAATGCAAGATGGACAGGCTAATAAGGCAAAACGCAACAAACTGGGCTATCAGCAGTCCATTGGAACTCTCCCTCTCCCCAGTCATGGTAGCTACCTGCAACTACCTGTAACACTGGATCGTAAAAAGGGAGAGCCAAGATGTGTGGTTGCAGCCTGCCCTCCTGCCTCACCACATAAATCAACTCATGTGCAACCTTCATCCAACTCATCTTACTTTTCATTATCATCATAACCGTATACATACAAAAAATCATAGCGTGACAGACGAGTGGCGAAGGGGACAGGCGGAGATGACTACTGGGAGTTTATAGTCACAATTCTGCACATGGGCGGCATAGATAAGATAATCGTTTATGCACTGGGATCTAAGCAGCAGTGAAATTCGGTCCTGTCTGGGCGAAAGGGCAACCCTTTCCACATGGGAAGGGGGCTTGAAAAGATGCCCTAAACGTAGCCTGCCTAAAAAAACAACCTGATTGGGCAACCGCACAAAGTAAGGACAGCCTAATGCTGTCGAAACCACAACCTCTTATGGTCGCTGCATGGAAAGTTGTAGCAAAAGAGCTGTCTAAGTATAACATCAATATAGCAGCCATTCGTGAGTACCGGCTCCTAGACAAGGGTCGACTTACAGAACGGGGCCCAACTATACCTTCTTCTGGAAGGATAAGCCTGCTTCAGAGAGTAACTGCATTTATGGAGTTGGCTTTGCCATTCGCCAATTCGTCCTACAGAATCTAACTGAAAGGCCTATTGGGATCTATGAGCGCCTCATGATGCTCTAAGTCCCACTGAATCACTCACGTCATGCCTTCTTCATCAGTACGTATGCCCCAACACTGGATGCAAAGGATGACATCAAGGAGGCCTTTTACACCTACCTTGACAGAGTGCTGACCCCTATCCCCAGAGACGATAAGGCTGTGTTTCGAGGTGACTTCACTGCCTGAGTTGGAAGAGATACTAATATATGGCAGGGAACCGCATGGAAAAACAGAGTAGGCAAGTGTAATCCCAACGGCCTACTCCTCCTCATCAAATATGCTGAACACAACCTCACTATCACCAGTACCTTGTTTAGGCAGGCCGACAAGTTCAAGGGTTTGTGGTAACACCCACGTTCCAAACACTGGTAGCTCATTGATTACATCATTGTCAGAGAAGGAGATCGCCGAGATGTCCTCATCATCCGAACCATGCGTGGCTCAGATCACTGTAACACGGATCATCGGGTCTTCAGAACCAAACACTCACTTCACGTTTCCCCAAAACGGCAAAGGCAACAAGCTTCCAAAGAAGGCTTTAACACTGAGCTTCTGGGGGATCCAGCCATAGCACTTGTTTTCAGTGAGAGACTCGAACATGGGCTGATGAACACCCCGATGACAAACAACCCAAATCACAGTGAAGAATGGGGTATTCTCGACACTGTCATGACAAAAACCTGCAGAGATACCCTTGCCAAGAACGAAAGAATACATCAGATCCAGTTTAATGAAAATGACCCAGAAATCAACGTACTCGTCGATGATAAACACGTTTTAACTAACTGGCAGATCAACCCTCAGTCTCGAATCAAAGCTGATACCTTCCACAAGAAGAAAGTGGAGCCAAACGTGAACCTACCAATCTAAAGAACGAATGGTTGAAAACTAAATTGTGTGAATGGCGAAAACTTGCAGATCAACACAAGATGCATGAATTGTTAATTTCCGCAAAAACAAATCATGGGTCAATTAAAGACGAAGAAGGCATCCTTCAGTACTGGAAAGAGCAATACTATTTGCTGGGCAACCAAAACACCGATGTGGATGTTCTGACTATCCAGTAGGTCCCTCAGGACTCAGAGCTGACCCACCTCAGCGATCCTCCATCCCTGGATGAGGTAGCTACTACCATCAAACAGATGAAAAATAACAAATCCTCAGGGCCTGATGGAATCCCAGCCGAGGTGTATAAAGCAGGAGGACCTCTGTTTACCACCCTTATCCATTCTTTCTTGGAGAATATAATTATGGGAAAAGGAGGAAATCCCCCAAGGGAAACCGGTCAGACTGTGGCAACTACTGCAGGATCTCGCTGCTGTCCGTATCTGCCAAGATTATCGCCTGAGTCCTCCTAAGCAGACTTCTTCCTGAGGTGGAAAACTTCCTCCAAGAATGTCAATGTCGCTTTGGACCATCACGTGGCATCACTGACATGATATTTGCTGTCCACCAGATACAGGAGAAGTGCAGAGAACAGCATCGTGACTTATAAATGGCCTTTATCGACCTTTCCAAGGCCCACTACTCGGTCAACAGGGAAGCCCTCTGGCTGCCCACCAAAATTCATCGCCACTGTGAGGAATCTCCATAATGGCATGAATAGCAGCAGTGTCCTGAACAATGGCACCCAGTCTGAGTTCTTCCCCAGCCATATGGGGGTAAAACAAGGATATGTACTGGCATCAACTCTCTTTTCCATTTTCTTGGCAGCCTTCCTTAATAGTGCCAGTGCCAATTTAGCCGGCAGGGTTGACATCCGGTACCAGATGAAAGGACTTTTCAATATAAAACGACTCTAGGCAGGAACAAGGGTTTCATCAGCTTCCATTACTGACTTTAGTATACAGACGACCTCACACTCGTCG